ATCAAGGTTCAAAGCCAGCCCAGGTAGGAAAGGCTATGAGACTCTAATCTCCAATTAACCACCAGAAAACCAGAAGTAGCACTGTGGCTCAAGTGGTAGAGTGCACGCCATGAGCTGAGGAGCTGAGGGACAGTGCCCAGGGTCAGAGTTCAAGCCCCATGAAAAGACAAAAATGAAAAAAATAACTTAAAAACGTTATTGTCAAGGACTGGGAAGGTGGCTTAGTGGTAGAGTGCTTCCCTTGCATGCATGTGGTCCAGAGTTTGATTCCTCAGCACCACATAAGCAGAAAAACAGAAGTGGTGCTGTGGCTCAAGTAGTAGAGCACTAGCCTTGAGCTGAAGAACTGAGCGACAGCGACATGGCCCAGAGTTCTGGCCCCATGACCGACAAAAAAAATCAAAAAATCAAACAATATATATATATATATATATATATATATATATATATTCAAAGTAATGTAGAGAAGGGTTACAGTTACATCAGTAAGGTAATAAATACATTTTTTGACAAACTTGTTACACTTTCCCTCCTTTTTCTCCTACTGTCTATTTCCCTCCCTCCCACCTCCTCACCCCCCAAAATATGTACAGATCATTTCCAATACGTTGTCTTCTGTATATTGATGTTGCATTGGCTCAGCCCCTGTCCTTTTTCTCAACATTCTGTTTTTCCCCTTCCCTTCCCTAATTCAAATAAATGTATATGCAATACTATGGCACCAAATTCAAATACAGCAACAACAGGGGAGATAAATATAAAATGTTAGGGAAAACATACTCCCTCAATGTTTAAGAATTACAGCATGTCTAAAGTGCTCAGTACACACAGTTTATACACACAGTTTTATTCCCCATGTACATTACTAAGAACTTCGCTGCTTTTGAGCAAACGTTCTGGCTGTCTAATTAGCCATTGAATGCTTTATGACAACTGGTATTTCCCATCAATGAAAGTAGAGTGTACATTTGGAAAGAATTTTATTATTCTTCGTAGGGAAGAAAAGAGACATGGCCAGGTAGCCTGATGATAAAAAACAAACGATGACTTCCAATGTTGGATTTTTCATTGCTGTGTAAAAATAATAAAAGTCCATGACGTTGTTGGAGCAATAGAAGAACATGAAACAGCTGTCCAACAGCAGGATGATGTGGGTGGCTTTGTTCTCGGGTGCTGGCTGCGAGGCAAGCCTGGGACTATGGAAGTGCCGGGCTGTCTTGTGGTGTCGGCACAGGAGGGTCACCATATAGAGGCTGGTGATGATCATGAGGATTACAAACACAAGATCTCAAAATAAGAAGATAGAGATTCAATACCATGGTTTATTGTCATCTATCTGCTGAGTATGACAATATACATTGGAAAATCCAGAACCTGCAAGTGTAAAATTGCTTTTGGCTTTCATAACCTTAAAGACCAGGACATCGATGAGTGTTATTGACAACCCAGAAGAAGAGGAAAGAAGGGAAAATCCACACTGAAGACTTAGATTTAAGCCACACGCACTGGAGCAAGGTGGTGCAGATGGAAATCGCCCAGATGACTCTGAAGAGGTACACCACCGCCTTGCAGCTTACATCGTCCAGAAAATGATGAACTCATAAGGATGCCATGATGTCTGGCAACATTGTGAAGGTGGTGTTCAGGATGTTGACTACAGTCAGGTGCATGAAGATAGCACCGATGAGCTTCTTCAGATCAAGTTGGATTCAAATCATGTACAGATAGAGCCTGGAGAGCAGGTAGTTACCCATGACAATGATGCACAGCTGGGTTATGAGGAAAAGCCCCCATATCGATTCACCTGAGAACATTGTGAATGGCACTGTGATGTGTGATGCATAGAGCTGCCAGACAGTTGGTGCCAGGATGAAAAATAAGTGCATTAGATTATTGATCTGTTCTAAATGGTTCTTCAGGAAGAATATGAGGAAGATGTAAATCAGTTTCAGTTCCAGGGTTGGCTCTTGTGGAATGGAATCTCAAGGGCTCCTGAGGATCTTAGAGGACAGAAACAGATGAGATTATAGAAGGGAAATTGTGGCTCACACCATCAGTCCTAGTGCCTTTGCTATGAGAACTGCGGGCCTGTGGTACACAGAAATTTGCACAGTATAAGGAGTTTTCTAGGTCATCAGGTTGTTGTTGTGTGTGTGTGTGTGTGTGTGCGTGTGTGTGTGTTCACAAATACCTGGGGCTTCATCTCACATCCTAATAGCTATCCCTGAGGTTTCTTTTTCTTTGTTGCTCAAGGCTAACAGCTATACCTCCATCTTCATGCAGGTTTATTTGAGAATTAAGTCTTGCAGACTTTCCTGCCATGGCTTGTTTAATTGCCATTCTCAGATCTCAAATTCCTGAGTAGGTAGGACTGCAGACATGAGCCAACAGTTCTCAGTATAAAAATTTTATTTCTTTTTTTTTAATCCTATTTCATAACACATTTTATCCATAGTTCTCTAGAAAGGTAAGGTAGTTCAAATTCCATTACCAGAAAAAATTTCCTTAGCATCGTATTAAGTTTTCAATTTCAACTCTTCTGGGAAAGAAATTCCAAAGAGGGGGAAATTACTGGGTAAAGAATCAAAATAAGCTTCAAAGGAGGAGAGTGGCAAATATATACGATGTGAAAATGTTTTCACACACATCCTACAAACTCGATTAAGCATTTGTATTTAGCCTGTTATTTTTTTAGCATGGCTTTGAAATCAAATGGGATCTATATAGTGTGATCAAAAGAATGGAATACAAGTGTATTTTGGGGGGCAAATAAAAAAGTGACACAAAATTACTGCAGAAATGAATCTTTTTTAAATTTCTTTTCCTTCTAATTGGTCAGCTCTGATGGCTTCAAATT